AGCTGTTCATCATTGTGACTTTTTCTTAAATACGACCTTTTCGTCTTGACAATTTCCTTTTCAAAATACCATTAATATGTGAAATAACCCCCCCCCCCAGTGTTTGAATACATTTAATTTCCTGATTTTGTTTTCTAAGTAAAAGCTACATCAAGTTGGGAAAGTTTGAGATCAGATGAAAACAGCCTATCCTTTTCAAGTTAGTATAGATCTTAAATATTTGGATCATAGCAAGATCTATCTACTGCAACTCTGCAGTTGCACTGATCTGGTTATTCACTCTTATCTTATCCTCCTTAAGGCTTCCTACAAGAATGATTTCTTTAACTGGGACATCTGGAAAAATATTGTGTATTTTATCCACTCATTCTAGTATGTTTAATTGTTTTCAACTAATTAGGAACTGTTGTGTATAACATGTTTCCTTTGTAGCAAAAAATGTAGAAACATTGTTCTTATTTTCATTGTTACGTCTTTATGCTTAAGGAAAACTTTTTATAGATACTATAAACAATTTAACACAAGACAAAACTGAACACTTTTACATTATACATAATTTATACTTCTGTAAGTATACTGTACAATAACATACTACAGGTAGTCCTCACTTACACACTGCCTCATTCATTGATTGTTCAAAGTTACACCGGTGCTATCTCTTAGTCACATGATTATCATTACAGTCAGTCTAAATTGTCCTGTGTCTGACCTTTATTTTTTTTCCCCTGCAGAGAAAAAGACTGGACAAGAAGGGCTTAAAAGAGAGGAAGAAGGCCCATTAGTGGAAAGAAATACCCATCAAAGGGGCTGGCTCTGGCAGCCATTTTGTGCCTGCTTACTCTCTTCTAATCCATTTTCTCCAATCTCTCTCCTTAGAGTGAAGGAATTAAAAAAAAAACAAGCAATTTTACAGGTAATCTCTCTTCTACTTGATCCAACACTCCCCCCAAACAGGGATATTTGGTAAGAAGGGGTTACAAGAGAGTAAACAGGCATAGAGTATGGCCTTTACCAGCCTGTTTGCTGCCAACACCAACATATTGCTTTCAATGATTATTCCCATTGTGTGCCCGCATACTCTTTTATAATCCCTTCCTCTCCAATGAATGTAAAAACAAATATGATTTTCTTTCTTCTGAATTATACCAGTGCTAGGGTGAATATTCAAAAGGGTGGGGAAATGGTTAGAAGGAAAATAAAAACTAAAGAGAACCAATTATGTGATCAAACTCTACCCACGTTGGTCCATTTTTGCTTAATCTACTTTTTACAGTCCTCCTCCCCTCCTCCAGCATCATTTTTAGCTATAGCAGGATAAATATTTCAAACAAATCTGCAAATACAAAATTACAATAATTATTGTTTGGTACCCCAAAGTACAACCAGGGTTGTAAGAAAAGATCTTATCCTTGCCCAGTTAGATAAAATAGATAAAAAAGATCTTGCCCAATTTGATACATCAACTAAAGTGGCAATTGACTTGTCAGAATTTGTTGGGGTTTTACTCCAGTCCTTTAATAATCCATCACAGAATTATTGCTGTCCAGATAGACACTAAATTCAACTCAGGCTTCAGTAATCACATAAAAGAAGAGCGGAGAACACAAGGCTATCTTCAACTCTTAAGTACCTCTAAAAGTTGTCACTATATCTATAGTTTAATATTAAAATTCTGTTTATGAATGCAGCAGAAGAGACTGATTAATAATTGCTACACATGGGGAAAAATCAAATAACTGTATTTAAGTGAATTAAATATAATCAATTCAAATATTTTATTACTGAGTTTTTAGAAAGTTTTATAGTAAGGAATAAAAAAAATTACAAAATGCAAAAAAAGAAAAGAAAAAAAGTCAGAAAAATATTTCATAAAAACTACAAACAAAAAATACAAGCAAGCAAACGAATAAAATAAAAAAGTGGGAATTATAGATATGTGTATCACATTAATCAAATGTCTGCATGGTATGTTCTGGCTTTGTATATGTGTTTGTATCTGTATTTACATGCAATGGATCCCACAGCATGTTCATCTTTATGTTAGATAATACACAGTAAAACTTCTTTCATAGCAAAGAAACAAATTATTGTTCTAAGAATAAATAGTAGTAAAATATGACATAAAACATTTCACATATAGGAGCAATCATTCCCACTGACTTTCAGAAAATGCTTTGGATCAACTTTTCTGGAATTTAATTAATTAACACATTAATTAATGACTTCATTAGAGGTAATAAAACAATTTAAAGCAATAGAAACTTTTCAATAGCTTTTAAGTAAAAGGAACCCACCAATTACGCTCAGTTCTGCGCTGACATAGATGACTCCATATCTATTTTCTGCCACACACTGATACATGCCAGTGTCAGAGAGATTCACGCTGGGAATGGTAAGTGTCCCATGTTCTATGTGAAGTCTTTCCTGCAAAATAGTTAAATGAATAACATAAATGTAAAAAAAATCTTCAGAATTTATATATTCCTCCAATGACATTACCTTAAATGTCAAATAGGTAGGTGGTATCAATACTAAAGTTGAAAAAAGACAAATTCATAAATAATCGGTATGATGGAATCTTTGCTAACAAAATTCAAAATGCATGTTCAAAGAGAAAAGCAATACTAAATTGTGATTAATACCAAAGTTTCTTCTTGTTCTCAGTGATTGGGCATATGAACTACGTTGATTAATAATTATTTGAAGCCCATTAACCTAAATCTAAAACTATGGTGGTCCTATGGCATATTATGACCTAAGTTGGTCTGAGATTTTTTTTAGAAATTCAGCTTTCTGCTTCCTTGAAGATTAATGGAAAAGTAATCATGTTCAGTGGGCCAAAGCAATTGATTGCACCCCACTAGATTAAAATTGTTATACTCCAAAGATATAAATCATAGCCGTTTAATAATCCTTACTTTAGTTTAATATGGTTTAAGTTCAGAACCAGTCACATTAGCACATGGCACAAAAGAATGGGCAATCAGGATTCAGCCTAAGGATAAAGAACTCGCAATACCAATAACAACAACAATATGCTTGTTGTGTGTATTAGTAAATCTTAAGGTGTGTGTATTAGTAAATCTTAACATGTAACAAATACAATCTATAAAAGATGTTGGACTCCTTTTCACAGGTGGAGTGTAAATCTAACGTTGTGCAGGCTTTATTTGATTGAATCTAGGCAACAACAGTTTCACAAGGTGCAGGTAAGAGTGATTTGCAATTTGTTTAGTTTTTGCCCTTAAAATTGAGACAATCAAAGGCTGGAATAATCTCCTTTGGTGAGATTAGGAATAGAGACATGCTGATGAAATCTTTTCCTTTCTTTCTATAGCTCATTAATCCTTAGTTTTATGTGACACTGCTAATGATAGGTCAATTCCCTCGTTGGCTATGTCAGCAGAGGTCCGTAGAAGTGAAACGGATACAGACTAGAAAGCTTGTTTACATTCCATAAAGTTCAATTAAAACTTACATACTGAAAAAAAAATCAGAATGGAAAAAAGGAGCTTTATAGCCTGAATAGCTATATTCCCATTTTTGTTTTTCACAGTTAGCACTTAACAGAGGTTTTGTTCCAGGTGATGTTTCATTTGCCTCTGGCGTTGCAGCAACTGAAAAATGTGCAGCCATTTTATGTATCTTCTCCTCAAAGCAAATATGCCCTGGAAAGGAATCCCACAGCTTCTCAGTTCCAATTGATTCTGTGAAATGTTTGTCAAAGGGAGAAAATGGCACTTAAATACCTAACATTCGCTGAACATTGGTTGAAAGTTAGGTGCTCCGGGGTGATTCTTGCCTTTTGAAAAGTATGACTTGAATGACATTGTTTTAAATATACGGAAAGCTCAAGGTGATCTTGTGACATTCACTCAGCATGACAAGAAGTCTGCAGTGGGACAGATGGAAACTTAAGACTATATGGTTTCTACTGTTTTTATTTTTCAGTAATGTTGAGAACAAATTCTTGCAAGTTAATCCCCAACCTCAGAGCATCAATATTGGCAAGATTGCTTGTACCTGAGGGAGAAGAAGTTCACCATCCTTCAGCCAGTTGTAAGAAGGCTTCGGTCTGCCATTTGCCTTACATTCCCAGTAGATACTTTCTTCTATAGCCACCTGAATATCACTTATTTTCTGATTCCAGTTGGGAGGAGCTGTAAGGAGGAGTACAGGGATATTTATCTGAGTAACATTTATGTCTTCTCTACCATGATCTCAGAAATAAATCTATTCCAATGGATGCTTTTCTTTAAAAAAACAGAAATATGGGTTTAAGATTACTGTGTTTCCATGAAAACAAATTATATGTAACCTAAAATTGACTTTGGTCACTTCTATACATTAAAGATGTTCAGTGTGAAGATTGCAATGATGTAGTGGAATTGTTTAACCTGCATATATCAGCTTTGATGCCTGGTAACTGGCTGTACAAATCTCTGCAGTTTTATTGGCAACATTTTAAAAAGCTTACCATTGTTCTCTTCCTAGGGCTAACAGTGAATGAATGTCCCAGGGTCACCCAGCTGGCTTTGTGCCCAAGTTGGGACTAGAACTCACATTCTCCTGGTTTCTAGCCTAGTGCCTTAACTACTGTCCCAAACTGGCTTTTCTCGGTATATCTATATGACCAATTAATGTAATAACTTATAATGATATTTCTAATAATTAAATAAAATAGAATCCCTGAGATACTTAAGGAAAAGAGCCAAATTTGATCAACTAATAAATATTTGTCTTGCTTTATTAATGTTATCTATATATGTCAATTATTTCTATAGATAACTGTTTTTGTTGTTATGCAAATGATTGGCAAAATAAAGAGTGCAAAAAAATATGAAATATTTCATTATCCAAGGGAGAATAAAGCTTCCCCCTGAAATCTATTTTGCACCTTATGGATGGATCAAATCTTGTAGAATATATTTATTAAACTAGAAATATTAAGACAACAATAGTGCCCCTTGAACACTGATTTCTGAGGCTACAAAATATTAGGTTGTAAGTAACAGGGTGTGTGTATTTTGATTACTTTCAACAGTGGTTTCAATCATCAAAAGTATAATTTGTATATGCAAATAAACAATAGAAGTGTAGTATGGATGTGGAAAAATAATAAAAGCTAATTTAACAGAGGAAAAAAGCCGTTTAAATCGACTGGATGGATAAAACAATTAAATTGGTTTGTGCAGATCCAAAAATAGTGATAAGAAATGTGAAAAATACAGTCGTCATAGAGACAAAGTAGATCTTAGAACAAAATCAGAAAATACTTTCTGTGAATCTGAGTTGCAAATAAATGGGCAAAAACAAGCCACTTTAAAATCAACAGACTTCCCCCCCCCTGTGGATTTACATGGTTACTCTTTTGGACAGTAATATATTTTATACTTCCATTATATACAATCAATGTCTAACTATTTTCAGATAAATAATATCATAAAGTAATTTTCAGAAACATGTATTTCAAAATTAAAAGACTATCATTACCTTGATTGCAAGTAACAAACACAAATCTGGCTGAATAATATGGGGGTATTTTAAAACAGCTATACAATTGAGTATTCTATAGAATGGGATACACACACACACACACACACACACACACACACACACACACACACACACACACACACACACACACA